CTCACTGTATCAGGCCCCAAGGCTCTGGGTGTGAGGACCAAAGGAATCAGTTCTGATTTTATCTCCAGGGCCCCAGGTCAAGTCCTTGATTTACAGATAACCAAGTGAGAGGCAGGGTAAAGACTGGGGTGGCTGGCCTCCACCTCCTACCTTATACTCCCAGGCAACATCCTCCATGGGCACAACATTGTGGGCCTTATGCTCAGGGGACTGGCGGCAGGCCTCACACGTGATCAGGCCATCTTCTTTGCAGAACATCTTTAGCTGTTCTCCATGGAGCTCACACACATCACCTTTCAGCCCCATTCCTGGGTGCAGCCCTAGCAGACGGACTTTTTCTACCACATTGGCCAGCTGCCAATTAGGCCGCAGGTTTCTTGGTTGGACAGGAGCCCGGCAGAGGGGACATGTGTAACCCCAGTTCTGGGATTCCCCTGGGACCTCCCAGAGTCCGGAGAGACAGCCTTGGCAGAAGCTGTGACCACAGTCAATGCTCACGGGCTCCCGCAGGAAGGTCATGCAGATGGGACAGGCCACTTCCTCCACAACGGCTTCCACCAGTGCTGCGGGATTCATGGCTCCTTCTCACACCCTCCTCAGAACATGAACAAAACCGGGCAGAGGTAGTGAAGGCTGAGAAGAAAAGAACAACAAATAAGGGGAACAGGCAACAGAGGGGCAGAGGGATCAGTAAAAAGGATAATTAGTGAGTGGAAAAAACCAAGTTCCCTTTTGATTCTTCCTTGGTCCTTTACTGACCTTGTTGAATAAGCACTGGCCTTCCCAACTGAAGTTCTGACTGGGCCACATTACTCACACCACAGAGGGACATCTAACGATGCCTAACTGAGTGGATGTTGTGAGTTCCACTTTCATTCATTTGGTCATCTCTGACCCTCCTCTGGGTTTGCTCACCTGACCATTCCCATGTCACCTCAATCATACTCCCCAAATCAGCACTGTTGCTCTTGAACTTGGGTAAGCTCACATAAAACAGGGTATTTCAGTGTCTAAAAGGAGGCCAGAAATAGCCCCCAGTCTCACTCTTTGGTATGTTTGTATGTATACTGACATACTTCAAGGGGCAAAAAAGGTACTCTGCCAGGAACCCATTGCCTATATGCTCAATTGGTTTTCTTGTGTTGCACACTCAAGTGTAAAATACAAGAGAAGCAGCCATCATTTCTCAGCATTCTGTAAACCTCTGCCCACTTCTCCAGCACCAACATTCACTAAGATGCCAAGACTCTCTCCTCGGCCTTCAGTGATATGTTAGAAGCAGAGATGAAACAACACCCCTTGGAAGATAAAAGCAAGGGTCACCTGATACTAATCAAACCCATGCGATGAAGTTACTACCTCAACAAGAAACCTGAAATTTCTGCCAGGGTCACATGTGGGTATGGAACTTACATGGTCAATGGTAGGTTCTTGGCACAGTTGGCAATATTTATTTGTTCCCTTTGCAAGTTTGTGTTACTAGCTAGAGCCTGTAAAGGGGAAAGCCATGTTGGTCTTAGTCACTGCTGTATCCTCAGCACCTAAACTGTGCCTGTCATGCAATTATTGCTGAATAAATATCTGTTGAAAAAATAAACCAGCTAGATATAGGAAATAGTTCTAACCCCAAAATGCTTTTATGATTTGAGACAACTGAGAGCATATTATACATTAATAATAATAGCAAGCACTCCTTGAGCACTTACACTACGTGCCAGGCACTATTCTGAGCATTTTACATGGATTAGCTTAGTTCAGTTCACAACCCTAAGTAGAAACCATTATTCTGCTGTTCTCATTTTATAGATGCTTGATCCTGGGCTCCACCACTCTATCTTGGGCAAATTACTAACCTCTCCAGCTTCAAGTAATAATAAAAATTCAAGCAGACAGATAAAACACTGTGGTTTTGGGTAGTCCAGTACGTCTTCCTGAACAAACTGGAACAGTAAGTAGATTTTGCAGGATTCTCTGTTATAGGCCAGCAGCAGCTTCTGCCTTGTCACTGGCCTCCCTGCCTCCTGCTTTTCCCTGTCCCACTATCACTATCAAACTGTGGGATCCAGTATCCTAAAACCTAGTTTTGTCACTAATCTACTGAAGAGTCTATCCTGGTTCCCCAGCACCCAGTCCAATTGGAAACTCTCATTCTTCACCTTTGAAACAGCACCTGTGCCCAGTCAAGCAAACAGAGAAACTTCCACACTTTCCTGCAGACCCCATGTCTATTCATTCTGCCTCACTTGCGTTCCTGATGTTCTCCCAGCTTGAAATGACTGCTCTGTGATCCTGCTCTTAACATCATTTGACATGCTTGTGTTTATTGTCTTGCTTCCCACACGAGAATTTTCAAGAGGATAGTGACATCATCAATTTTGTTCGCAATTATATCCCCAACACCAAGAACAGAGCCTCCATTAGTTTTTGAATATATGAGAATTAAATGTAACTGTTGAGGTCCAGGTGATAGTAGTCTGGAAGTGGAAGAGTTACCATCTAAAGCCGACACAATACAGGTTGATTGGTATCTATGATTTAAAGCTGCGAAGATCAACACAAGAATAAAAATAGAAATAGAAAATTGGTGGCAGTAGGGAAGTGAGGTAAAGAAATATCAAAATGATAAATCAAGAAATGCAGTGTAAGCATATTATTTAGATTTAGTAGGGTCATAAAAAGATCTAAACGTATAAAAGTTAAAAGTGGTGGCCTCTGTGAAAGAGATTTAGGGTGGGTAGCTCTTGCTGTTAGATATAAGACGTCATTCATTGTTTTATTTTTTATTATACATAAATTACTTGGACAAAACTTTAATTATTAATTATTTAATTGCTTCCGAATTGACTTTGGCAAGGTGGGGAGCCAGTGTGGGAAAGACATTTGAGTGGAGGGGGCGGAGCTTAGAAAAGACTCCAGATGTGGGGCCAGATGGGGAGGACGAGGGAAGGCGGGGATCTCCGGGGTTCGGAAGCAGAGGGGGATGGTAACCTCCTAGAAACAGAGCGCGGGGCAGGGCCCCGGGGCAGAGGGCGGGTGGGGGCAGAGTGAAGTGGCTCTGCAAGACCTCTGACCTCAGAAGAGGCACAGCTGTCTACCCACCTCCTTCCTTAGTCCGCACTAGCGCCCTACGGCGAAAGCCGAAAGTGGAGACGCCCGATTGCCACTGCCGAATATCCGCAGCGTCAGGAGACGCTGGCCCGGCCAGCGCAGCACTTACCTCCGGGAGATGAAGGCCCCGGCAGCGACCGGCTCCTAGGCCTCTCCCGCAGTTTCCAGACCCCGCCCACAGGAGCCAATGAGCTGCGGTCAGGGCCGGCGCCGGCATCCGCCCAGCGGCATCTTTGTGGGAGCAGCCAATCACAGACAGGAATCTGGACAACCCCTGCCAATCGGAGGAGGGGACGAGGGCTCTGCCCAGCTCTCGGCGTGCCAGTGTGTTTCTCTGCTGCGTGGGCTTTACTGGCTCTTTCTCTAGCTCAGAACCCCTGAAACTGAAAAGACGGCCCAGGAGTCAGTCCCAGGACGGGTCGAAGGGTTGAGGCTCCCAACTGAGGCTGCACAGGCCCTGCATTATTAGAGGCCCAGCTGGCTCTTGATCCAAGGAACCACTTCTGTCTCCCACTTCCGCTCTGGCTCATCAGTGAGTCTACAGTGCGAACCTTGTTCCTTCTGGGTAACGGCTCTGGACCTAATGCTGTTTGCCAGTTTTCCACGTTAAACTTACCAGCCTCTGAGATCAGCCGCGTCTAGTTATGTGACCCAATTTAGTGCAGGGCTGGGGGCGCTGCAGTTTCCAGCAAGATGAGCGACCTCACCTGGCCGCAGGCTGCAGATACTGGTTTCACATAAAAAAACCCTCCTGAGTTTTCCTGGCAAACTTATCCTTTCGTACTTCAGCAGGCACCTTTTCATCACTATCGCCACAATGGCACCTTAAAGTTAAAAGCAGATATTGGGAACTGGTGGAATAGATGTGGAGTCCCTGGTTACAAAATGTCATAATTATTATTTTTTTTAACAATTAGTGCCCCTTCCTCCCTCAGATACAGACATACACACACACTTCAAGTGCTTCTTAAAGGCAGTGATTTGAGTTTTTCTTTGGACTCCCTGCACCCTGTCCTTTTCCTGGTACTTAGGTGTTTACTGAATAAGCAAATAAAGGCACATCCTGTCCACATGGAAAATAGCCAGGAAATCCTCCAGTTGAAGCTCATTTCCAAATGATTTTATTGTTTGGACTTATACTCTAGATCCTCACGCCAATGCCAGCGTTCAGGCCATGGTTGAAAATCTGAAGGGTGAGGCCCAGAAGATTCCTGAAACAAATGGGGCCATGAGCAAGAAAAGAAGAAAAGAGGCAATTCAGGTCGGAGCTGGATCCTCTGTCTCACCTGGATCTGGAGAAATGGCTGCCCTAACAGAATAGGGAGTGGACTAATTGAAACAAGCCACTATAAATATTTATTGTGCATCAACTTTTTGGAACACTTTGTGCTGGGTGCTGGGATTACAACTATGGGTCACACAGTCCCTCTTAAGGAGCTCAAGATTGAGTTGGTTATACTTCTCTGGAGCTTCTGTGAAGTTAAAACAGTTAATGAGGAGATCGTTTTCATTTGTAACTTAAAATTATCCTTAACCATGATGGACTCTCAAGGCCCTGGCAAAAGGGGCCCCTTGTTTTAGAGTTGCTGGGGGTGGAGGCTTGTGTTCATGAGGGGAAGGCTGGACAGAGAACTTTTGAAGACTGATTAGCTCGCCCCCCAGGCAGAGAAGCTCTCCTTCACAGCCTCTTTCAGGGTGCCTTGTTTGCTCTGAGAGGTAGATAGATGTGTCCAGGGGATGCTCTGTCTTTGGTAATTTCCATGACTGTAACTGCAGACCTCAACACTCTGCCTGAATCCAAGACAGACCAGGACAACAAGGTGAATGGCTAGCTGCCAGATGGTATCTCTCTGTGCTTTGGGACAGGAATGGCACCAAAGGAGAAGCAAGACTGAGAACTGATTGGGGGGCAGGGAAGGAGGTGCAGGCATTGAGGAAGTAGGGATAAGGAAGGGGTAAGGTGCCGATACANATGTTTTCATATTTTTTTGGGTAGATACCCAGGAGAGGGATTGCTGGGTTATATGGTAATTCTATTCTTAATTTTTTGAGGAACCTCCATACTGCTTTCCATAGCAGCTGCACCAGTCTACATTCTCACTAACAATGTATGAGGCTTCCTTTTTTCCTGGAACTCTTATAATCACTAGTTTTGATGTGGTCTGTATTGGAATGGCCTGCTTTGCCATTGCCTATTTTTGCACAGTTGAAGTCAGCATGTCCTGTGTTGTGAATTTAAAACCTACAGTTGTGAAATTAATCAGTAAAACTAAGGAAAAACCAACAAAAATTCACTGTATTTATAGATATGTTTTTTTAACTTATTTAAATATGGAAGGTATTTAGTTTCACATCCAAGTTGTTCTCTAACTCTCTAAAATGTTCTTTCACTATTTTTGCCCTTAAGAGAGAAACCAGATGCCATTGTTCTTATATGGCTGGTCTTGGGGGTAGGGGAGGGTTAAGGAAATCACAGCCTCCTTCTTCAGCCCGAGGCCAGGCAGAGGCATGGTCCCATGGGACTCCTGTTATGAGTTAGCTAGACATAGGACCCAGAGCCTGGGGACAAAGGAGATGTGCACCAGAGCTTTAGGGAATCACAAATGGGTCCATTAGGATCCAGTCTCAGCAAGGACCCACATCGGCGCTAGCAATGGAAAGAAGGTAGGGGACAGAGAAAGCTTCAGGAATGCGATGAGCTGGTAGTTAATCACGGGGTCTCCCTGAAAGCTTATTCTGCCTTTCCTCTGGCTGAGTGTGACGAGCCTCTGAAGAAACTTGGAGAAAAGCTCCTCACAAAAGATATGGTCACACAAAAGAGTTTCTTCCAGCCTTTCCTCACTGATTCCCCCTGTAGAACTTCATGTTGGGAGCTGGCGCAGGACCCACCTGGGGAGGACTCTCGGGATGCCCTCTACCCACTGTCCTCCCTTCCGCATCCCCCCAGGCACACCTTCCCAGGACACAGAAGCCAAGAAGAACACCAGACCCACAGCTGGCTGCTAGGGGATACCTGCTGATAGACCCTCTGGGCAGCACCCCACCCACAAGCAGGGAGAAGAGAAGGAGGAGGAGCAGATAAGACAGAATAAATAAATAACCCTGACCAAAGAGGTCCAAAGGAGGGGGCGGAGGCAGAGAGAGCTGCACCGCAGTACAGCCTCCCAGACCTCTTCAGGAAGAGTACTAGAGAAAAGGGCACACGTTCCTGCAGTGCAGTTGAGGTGAGTTCAGGAGACCTGGGGGTATATCCAAGAATGTGTAGCTAGGGGTCTCCCATTAGACCTGCTGAGTGAATGAGAAACCAGGCTGTGAAGAACCAGAAGTATAGGCGTGGGGCCGGTGGGTATTGAAGGAGGCTCCTGACTCAAAGGACAGAGAGCCTTAGCAATTTCTATGTTTGTGTGGTGAAAGGAAGCGTGGGTGGTGTTAGATGCTGCCTATGGGTAGTTTCCAAGCAATTTCCCATTGATCAGTTTACTGGTGTGCCCATCTTGAGCCTGGCAGGAGTTAGCCTAAATGAAGGTGAAGGGGAGCAGAGAACAGATGGGGTTGGGACTGGGCTAGAGCTGGATGGGGGTTCGGTGTGTGAACAAGGCCATTCCCAGGTCATTAGTGTGATCAAAGCTCAGTTTGTGTTTAGGGGTTAGACTATAGCTCTGTCTGGGGTGTGGACTCTGATTTTTTGAGATCCAGGCTCATCGGAGACTCTGTAGCAGGAGTCAGGCTGTGGTTGAGACTGAAACTTAGCAGTCTTCCTGGGGCCTGATCCTGACCCAGTCTGTGCCTAGGATCAGGGTTCAGTCTTTAGTCCATTTAAAAAGTGGATTAGTGTCTACACTGCAACTTCCCATGCCTTGCACACTTTACCCCAGCACTCTGAATCACTTGCAGCCTTCCAAACAAGGTATGTTCTCTTCTGTCTGATCTTTGCATTTGTGAGAGTGCACTTTTAAAAACAAATTAGATTGGGGGAAGGTTATCGCTTTGTAAGGGGTGTAAATGTCTAACTGTAATGTTTCTTTGTACACCAAAAATAATAAAAAATTAACAATTAAACAAAACAGACACACACACACACACACACACACACACACACACACACANGGAGGGAAACAAAGAGGTTGACCATTCTATACAAAGCCAGCTTCTGAGCAAATGCTTGAAAGTTGGTATAAGGAAAGAGGGCTTTCATTTAAGGAACTGAAAGAATGCCAGTGCAGGACCATATTGAGGGACAGTTAAAGTGTCATGAGATGGGGCTAAGGAAATATTACCAGCAAGTTCATATCATCAGGGCCTCCTAAACCAAGAATTTGAGTATATTCTTGGTGAGAGTTCTCCATGATTAGTTGGACAATTTAACACTGTTTATGTTGATTGATTTTTCCTTCTTTGTTGTAAAAATATTGAAACAAAGATATAGGGATAACTATTATTTTAAAAGTCATACCATGGTCTAACTTGCTCAGTATTCTTATTACTATAACAAGTGAAAAAATGCTTGAAAAGTTCCTGTGAAAAATATCCATTTAAAATTTGTGCCAGCTTGGTACTTGATGTTACTGCTGAAAATTCAATGGACCTGCCCATTAAACATGTCTCAACTGAAGTAATAGAATTGTGAGTTATGAGTGAACATCAACAAAAGGACCAATAATTTCTACATTAAGAGTGACTCAAAGAGGATTCTGTAGACCTCCCTTTTTAAATATACACATCAGTGTCCCATCTTCGTACAAAAATAGGAGGATAAGATCTGCAAAGTATGAAAAATAATTCATTTCATAATGTCAAATTCTTTAAGTGAAACAAAGGTAAAAGAGTAAAGTGGTTCCACCAAGATTATGAGTCAGGAAAGATCTTCCTAAGTAAGGATGTTTAAACAGGCACCTGAAGGCTAAGAATTAATCAGAATAGCTGTAGGATGAGTGTTCTTACTGTGGGGAAAATGTGTGAAAGCTGAAAGGTAAGAGAAAGCATGATAAATTGAAGTTGTGGGATAACTTTGGTATGTTAGGGACTTAATATGCAAAAAGAGAGGTAGAATAGCTGGAGATAGGGATGGAGAGATACACTGAGATGGCTCATAGAGGCCTTATGAGCTGGGTTGAGGAGTATGAACTTCAATTTTTCATTCTAAAGTCACTGGGAAGATGCTACATACTGGTTCGTGTTTGGAAGATCAC